CATAGAAATTTCAGTATTAGTTTGTGCTACATAAATTGCACAGAATTAAAATGGAAAAGTTAATCTCATCATTAAGAATTGGAAACCTAACCTTAGGGGGAGTAAAGGAGATACTGTCCTAAATCAAGTGAGGACCCCAACCAAAACCATAAGTTTTGAGATTTACAACCCAAAAGTAAACTCTGCTCCCAGATTTATTCAGTTCTTAATTTGAAAGTACATTCCATCCACTTTGACATTAAGACCACAGAGAATCAGTAACAACCCAGCTTACTTTGTCAACACCCATTCGTTTAAAACCTGCTTGTAGAACCTTGAAGTTTTGAATGTACTCATGTTCCAATTTTGCTTGAAACTTCACTTTCTTGAGTGCTACAGAACCTGGGAAGAGCATGTCCATAAACTGACAGTATGCAGCACCTGCCAAAAGAAAAAGAATACAAATCCTGGGATGAATCAAGTCAGCTTATGAGGTAAGTCACTTTTCAGTCAGATCAGCAAACTGACCTGACTCATTCCTCAGCTACACAGTCTCTTAAAGGCAAGAAAAGGTAGAAAGCAAGAACCTTGAGTCTCCTGTTTTGGTGCAACAAGGCCTTAAATAAGCTTAAGCAACCTGCAGAACCAAACTTTTGGACTCGTGATTTGAACTCTTATGAATAAGAGCAATCCTGACTCCATAATTCCAAGAGGAAAAAAAAAATCCAGTGAATACTTTGACTTTCCTTTCTTCATGGATATCAGTACAGATCTGAGATGTTACACATGTCTGACAGGCATATAATCTCCTCTATCAAACACTAATAGAAACAAACAAGAAAAATAATTATTGTGAAAGCTATATTTAACCATGGGGCTTTGAGCAACCTGGTCTAGTAAGAAGTGAACCTGCCCAGGGCAGGGGGTGGAACTAGATGATCTTTAAGGTCCCTTTCAACTCTAACCATTCTACGATTATTAAAACGGTGATACACTTACTACAAACAGAACCTACACACAATTCAAGGTGCCCTCAAAGGTAAGAGGCTAAATTAAACTGGATTATATTTAAATCAAGCCTTAATCAAAGAACTGAAATGAGACAACGTCTCTTTCTATTAATTTTATATCCTTTGTGTCCTTCAATTCAGCTCTTACTGGAAGTGCAAAAGAGGGATTCAGTTCAGCCACAAATAGACAACCACCTCCAAAAAAAAAAAAAAGCTTTTTTAGAACACATGCACACGTTAAAAAAACCCTACATTTTTAAACTATATCCTCACTCTGCAGTGATGATATGCAACTGTGTGCCACTGAAAATACAAGTGCAACATTCTGAGTATTATTCCCCTCACCAAAATCAACGCACTAAGCACACATGGAGAGTAATGGGAACCTTGACCTAAATCATCAAACAGCTACATGACACAGTTTTGTGAGATATCTAAGTAGTAATATATCATGGTGTTTCCCTAAACTAGTCTATTCATCTCAACCACAGGTAACAGAAAGTCCTATATTGTTCACTTTCTAACAAGATATTTTGCAGGCCTTTTGGGGCTCCCACTTTCACCTGTTACTAGAACACGGCTGCTCATTGATCAGTGCAAATAAAAAAAATACCTTGCTGTTTGATCTCCACTGTCTTTCAGTTCACTTGCTGAAGAACTCCAATGCCCAGTTCAAAAAACAGATGACTTACTATAAACCTTTTTTTTTCTAACTATTGGTAGTCCGAGAGATAAGCACAATAAACAAAACAAACGAGATCACAGTTTAAGTCAAAGGTCATCTTCTGTGCATTTGTGCAACCTCAAATTGCTGCTGTCTCTACTGCCCTTGTCAAAGTTAGCAAAGCAAGCTTGGAAACTCCTGTTTTCACATGACCATGACAGACAGTGGAAGCCACTTCGATACCTGCAGAGGCATGAAGTATTTTTGCAGACACAAGAAAGGGACATTACTCAGCACATACCACATAACAGCTCTCAGCCTTTTTTTGAAAACAGGTGAGCTGAAATTCTGCAGAGCCAGTATTAATTATCCTCATTTCTCAGAGACAGAGCTCTTGCAGCATTCAAGACTCATACCAATTCTAAGCAAGAGTTCTCAACCACATAAATCCACACCTATCTGAAAGCAGCCAATACCTCCCATTTTGCTTACCTCTGTAGATCATTAGTTCCTCCACCCTTACGGATTTTCCTTCACCATCTCAGTAGACAAAAGCCACTATAAATACCTGTCAGACATCTATTGTAAGTCCCCTACTTCTCCGTAATCTTTGTGAATGTTTCTTCCACAGGTTGTACTGACAGTCCCAAACTTATTTTAAACTTTTATTCCACCTCCAATTTCCACATCTCTCATTCTGTGAGCAACGCCTAATCTCAAACTCACTGCATGGGTTGCACTTCCACTTCTTACCTGCCCTTTTGCAGTTATCAAAATCATCATCTTTTACCTAGGCTGAATTTTTAGCTTTGGGTTTGTTTTTTTCCAGCTCTTACTCCATAGACTATTATTTTTATTCATTTCTACAAAGCCTCCTCCCACACACATACTCCTCCCTATGAGGACATTTGACTCCATTTCTGTACCACAATCACTTCCCCTTTTCTGCCTACATCTCTATCCGAGATTCAGCTGTGCCAAAGTGAGCTCGGCTGACGCAGACTGACACGTTCCTTTACCATAAGGAGTTGTAAAGTCCTGAAGGTGAAGCCAAGAGTGGCCAGTATGCCTTCCTCACACTGCTCCTTCTGTCCACCCTCCCAAATAGTAGTTCTCTTCCATAAGAAACACTTGTTTATGTTAGTTACTACACTTGTAAGACTTATTCTATCCATCAAGTCTAAACACTTAATTCCTCATTGGAAAACACCTTCTCCTAAGAGTCTTTTCTCCACATTAACCCCCATTCCTCATTGCATCTATGGTGCAGTGAGTCAGAAGAATATACCTTTTCATTACACTTACATTATTAACAACTATTTCAACAAAACTCTAACCACAACCAGATTATAGCATTGACTGTGACTCTGCTCATGCCGGGAATTAAGCCAACAGCACGGCTACAGAAGGCCAGTACAGCCGGTTCACAGAGTGCAGCTGGATCTCTATAGAACATATCAACTCTGGAACTCCCCTCGGGCTGAGCCCCCTTACCTGAGCATAGCTGTTCAATCTTCGTCAGCGTCAGTTGCAAGGACTCATTGATCCACGCGAGCATGTCATGTCGACTCAAGTTATCGCTAGTCACTGAAGTAGAATACACATTAACTGCCATTTTCTGAAAGACAGAACCAAAGGCATTAAGTACCAAAACCGGTAACGCCGCACGTTTTCAGCGCTTCTGTTCAGGCTGCAACGGAGGCACTTCCTCTCGAGCCTTCATGACACAACAGCCAAACGTAACACGAGGCACAGGAAACGAGGAAGCTGCCTGCTGGCTGCTAACAGCCGGGAAGACCTTATCTCATCACAACTGCGAGAAGGGGCACGGCTTCGTGCTTTTCTGAAGAAAAAAATCAACACCGAGGCACTCACATGGAAACTTTGACGAAAGGAATCACAGCGGCGGCAAGTTATTCATCCCTCTCATCCACGCCAACCGAGCACGGCACCAACACTTCCTGGTCGACCACGGTATCTCTCCAGAGAGAAATACCAAGCGGCCGGTCCCCGCCCAGCCCCGCCGGCACAAAGCGGAGCCGCCGCACTCGCCGCCGAGCCCCGGTGCAGCTGCCGCCGGGCAGGGCCGGCCGCGCCCCCC